ATATACCGATTTTAAACGCAAACCTAGAATTCAGATAATAAAATCACAAAACCGTCCTTCCCCTTTAAAAACAGGAGAAGACAGAATGTAAAGGGAAAGGCAGCACCTCCCTACCATGCTATAAAACCACCGGAGCTCATAGGCTCAGTAGATTCTGCAGCACGAACACAAGCATGTAGTCTGCTATTGTTGTTGTTGCTGCTGTTACTAGGGTCAAGATGTGGTGTGATGACATCATTGTGTCACAAAATATAGGGATTGGCTGTCCAAATCGAAGAGGAGCACTCAATCGAGTTGGTTGATGTCTGATTTACTGAAAGCTTTGTGGGTATACGAGGATGTGGTTTTCTGAAATGGATTAAACAAGAGAAATGAACTTAATGATATGAATATACAAATGTTCCACAATAAACATTAAAACACTAAACAGCACCCAATATAAATATAACCATCCATATTACACTATTAACATGGGCGCTTATGCTCTAAATGTCCACAAGTGGCGATATCCGCACATGAATGCAGCACGAGGGCAGGGTAACATGACTAATTGGATGATTGCTACATGCAACAAGAACAGTCGCATAACGCGCACACACAATGATAAGGTTAATATTCAATAATAACACAATGTACAGCATATAAGTATCTCACAACAAGGAATATCACAGAAATACTCGCGAATGCAGGCAGCGCCATGCCACTCCTCAATCGGTACAAGAACGACAGCTGATCGCTTACTTCACATGTACGCACACTGTAACCCAGTATAAACTCGAAGTCAATATCTTTAAAGTAACTCTGAATGAAGTAGAGTACAGCTGCCAAACTCTCCATCTTCTCTCTATCCTGTGATGTAGCTCCGCCTCCCGTGGTGACGTTGCATCCGTGCTGAACATTCTGATTGGTCAGAATAATCCGTGACTTAGAGACAGCCGAGCCTTTTGTACAGCCGCCCCCGAATTCAGGAACTGAATTCGCTTATCTAACAAAGGTCGATATCTTGTCTTGGTCGTCCTCGGGCAGGGCTGGAAGCTGGATGAGACGGGCCACAACTCGTGTGTAGGTCTTACCGTTGACATCTACACTGGCTGTCCGGACTCGACCATCTACACCGGGGAACACCTGAGTGACTCTGCCTACAGGCCAGAGAGCGCGAGGAAGTTGGGGATCAACAATCAAGACTACATCTCCGATTTCCAATGCCTTCTTTTCAGTCTTCCACTTCTGGCGGGCTTGGAGATCTGGTAAGTAATACTTCAAAAAATGTCTCCAGAAGTGCTCCGCAAGCAGTTGACTATGGCGCCAGCGTCGCCGACTCAGCATTCTATTCATCTTGAAAAAGATCTACTCCGCTGTTTTCAACATCATAATAATAAATGTTTTCTGAGCAGCAAATCAGAATATCAGAATA